ATAATAACTGAACTACAACGCAGAGGAGCTGAAAATGGGGCTCCGTGGATGCAGAGAGAGGAGGAGGTTCAAACCATCTCTTCCGTCCGTCACAATGGACAAGGATCATAACTGGGGCTATAACGATTCCTTGAATGAGTCGAGTACCTCGATTATTAAAATTCCTCGAGTAAAATTTATCTGCCTTGAAGCTTTGTTAAATTGTTTCATGTAGCGCACCGTGTTCATTACTTGTGGTGGGCGGCGCTCTCACTTCTCCCTATGAGATGTTTAGCGCTAGCAGCATGGTGTTGAATTGTTCGGCGTTTTGTCAGGGTTTAGGGCAAATAAGCATTGTTGAATTGTGTGGCGCGATGGTTGGACTACGACAGGTTTTCTGCTTCAGAACCATGACGGTTTTGGAGCGAACGGTAGGAATGGCGCAGAAAGAGAGAGAGATCCGATTCCTCGATTAATCATAAAAATATTCTATAGAGTACTCGATTATGAAAATATTCTTTTACAGCAGCCCTAATTATAATCTCGAGTCCCAACATCTCATTGGCCAGATTTCTAACCATTCAGCTAGACACAAATTTAAAGATGAGTGGCTAAAGCAAATGATGCGGATTAGCAACCGATAGTGTCATCCAGGTCATGGCACTGCGGAATATCATCTTTACTTCCAGGACAATGAGCTGTTAGGATGTTATGAGACATGAGGTCTCTTCAGATTCACTGCAAACGGAGATCCTTCCTGCCTCACCATCATCGAAGACTCTGAAGATACTTTGATCATCTGGTTACGACGCCATTAAAGATAAAGTTTTTGTGAAACTATTCCCTAGACTATTACAGGGTTACAGATAATGATAGAAAGGTAAAATTATTCTTCAGCCTGTTGAATTTCATTAAAAGCGCCCTCTCAACTTTTTTCTCCATTTTTTTGTTTCATTGGAGCATAAAAAAATGATTTTTTTTTTTTCATTTAAGAGGCAATTATGTCTTAAACTCTTGACTTTCATTCTGTCTGGTGAATTAACTGAAGAGGAGGAAGCGTTAAATGGGAGCCGCTGCCCGTCATTCTGATGAGAGAGTTATTTCCCCTGGACAGTTTGACATTGAGTCATGCAGTCCTGGCACCAATCAGGGTTCCTCACAGTATTTCAATTAAATGTACGGGAGAGAAAAAGAGTATGGAAAAGTTTTTCTTTACAGACTTCACACACAAAATGAGCACTTAGACATTCAAAATGGAGGCTTTAGTAAAATCGTGGATCTCTGTAGAATACGCAAACATTTTGCATCCATAACCGTGTTTCCTGATCTGCTTCGTCTCATCCTTTAGATAACCTGATGAAAACACAGATGGTGTTTTTACTGCATCACAACAAGGCTGGAACTGATGCTGCAGGCGCAGAACCCCTACATATGTCTAGTGACTGAAGAGGGGAAAAAAAGAACATTTTAACTTTAGAACACAGAAAGGAACATTTCTCATTTCCTTTAGTCTTTAGTTGAAGCCGACAGTTAAAGGAATATGTAACAGTATTTGATGACCGTCCATCAGTGACGTCTGCACATGAATCTGAAAATAATTCCCACCTCTTGATCTTTTTATCAGGTTACAAACACAAACTTCAATGCATTTCAGAGCAGCGTTTCCATTATTGCGCAATTTGATATTTTCAAAAATAAATCTGCTTCATGAAAACACGTCAATTAAAAAAAAAATTGTTGATAAAAAGTTTTCGCCAGAATGAGGAGGTTTTTCGGACGAAATTAGTGTAGTCAGCAAACTACGGTGGGAACACTTCTCTCTTTTTTTTATAGCATCGCACAAGTCACATGATCAACAACAGGATGTTACTGGGGGCGGAAAAGACGAAGAAGATGGCAGGAAGTGGTAGGAGGATGATGGCGCAGCATGTTTTTTTTATGAACTTATAACTTATTCAGGTGTGATTTTAATTGATGTTCTCAATAAATGGAAACACCTCAATCGTGAAATCGTATTTTATTTTTGTCAACATTAGCAGAATATCAGTTTTGTGCAGGTTTGTAATGGAAACAGGTAATGATGCGGAGTTTCAAACAAGCAGCTTTAACGTCTTGGGGAAACAACTCAGTCTGGATGGAGACCGACACCATTCATTTTAAACTTCTGCCATTTTTTTTATTGGTTATTATGTCTGGACTTTGTTGACTATTCTACCAATTTATTTTACTCTAATTATGTTTTTCAGTCTCCATCAGGTTTTCTTCCAGGATTGCCCCGAACTACTTCACTTTCTCACGGCATGATGCTGCCACCGCCATGCTCTGCTGTCTCTTCAGATTCACGCCCTACGTAGTTGGGGGTATTTTTGGTGTGATTATGTGGATTTAAGTTTATACATAATGTCGAAAAAATTCAAGGTGTACAAATAATTTTTCAAAGCTTTAAAATATTTTTGAGTCACTATGATATATGATAAGGTATTTATGAAAGCTCAAAGCTTTTGACTGCGTTTTATTTCCTCAGTTCGCAGAGTTTGTTCACCCCGCACCTGTCCTGGCGGCGTTTCTCAAATGAAATCAGCTTTTGATAAGCCTCTTACAATCCATTCTGCTTTAACAAAGCGCTCTTCACCCTGGTGGGAAGCGACCGCTCTTTGATTAGGCTTTTCTAGACGACCTGCTGGAAAACAGCTGTCACCTCGTTAAGGGAGTAAATTAAAGAAGCTGCGGCGCTAAACGTCGAAGCCGAATGAACACACTGCCGTGTTTGAGTCAGAGATGAAAAGTCTCCCAGACAGAATTACATCAGGGATTCTTTTCTTTTTTTAACTTCCGGTGAGTCGGCCGTCTCTGTTTGTCCGTTCAGTCCCTCAGGAGGAGTCAATTAGATGTGGGGGTGTCCCCATGGCAACGCACAGGAGCAACAGGGGAAGGCATGAGTCATCACTGTTGTTAAAGGAGATTTAGAGAAGAGGAGGAGGAAGAGGAGGAAGAGGAGGTAAATGGGGTGAGGCAAGAAAGATGTAGGAGGTCCACTCTTCTGTTGGTATGGAGGGCTGAAATCAAAAGCAGAGGATGAGAAAAAGTTGAGAGGGTAAGACGGCAGGAGAAAGCAACAAAGACTGAATTTGAGCAAGAAAAGAAACAAAGACGTAACGCAAGTAGAGAAACGGAGATTAAACAAGAGGTAACACACGTGGAAATGAGAAAATGTTTATATATTTGGTAGACTCTGTCATCCAAAGGGATTTGCCAATAGGGATGACGTTACACATTTAATATCAGAGGCAACAATAAGCTACTTAGAAGGAAGATATTCAGGTTCATAGCGCCCAATCAGAGATTTAAAAAGGAACGGCAAAAGCAAATGAGGTGGATTAGCAGTGCTTGCTGACAACTCATTTTGTCATCCAGGAAACTTTACTGTGGAATATTATGACATTATTAGGGTCATGCTTAGAAATGTAAAAAACACGACAATAAAGTTCATTTTGAGAATAAAGTCTAAATAATACAGTAGAATTCAACTTTATTCTCTTAAGTGACTTTATTCTCGTACTTTAACAAGAATAAAGTTGTAAAATATCCATATTCGACATGGTAGATCATGCCCTCGGTTCCTGGGAATGTCAGCATCTTTCAACAATCACATTGTGCAGCATCTTCAGTCAGAGGCGTCTTCAGGTTTGTTGCTGGACTGTTACTGGAAATCATTCCTACCCAAAGCATCACCATCCACAGTGACTCTTCAGAGATACTTGGATGATATGATTACAACAACATTTCATTTCCATTTGTATTAAGAGTATTTGTGAATCCTTTTCCTCTAGACGTCTGGGAGAGTTCTGCGCCTTCAACCTTGAGGAGCGGTAAAAACATCATTAGTGTTTTCATCAGATTGCCAACAGCACGAGACAAAGCAAAAGTACTTTTCAATTTTCCGTACTGAATCTGAATTCTGTCAGAGTTGACGGGTTTAGCAAAGAGGTAAATTCAGTGGTTGCTAAAAGTAGGAGATGTTCTGACAAACTGGGTCTTCAAGAGTTTCTTGAAGACGACAGAGGAATGCCTCACTTCTGGTAGATACGTTGTCAAGAGTCTGAACTGTACACCACTTGTGGACTGTGAAGGCACTGCTGTTTATGACTGGAGTGACCGAGTCGTAACGCAAGTCTTTAAGGCTAACATCGAAGACTTGAATCTGACGCAGACAGCTATGGGTGGCCAGTGGAGCTTCATAAACATCGTACCCTTTTAGGCTGATTGAAGACGTCTGGACTGTCTAAATATTTTCATAGTACAGATTTGGAGACCGGCTAGCGGAGCGTTGGAGCAATCAAGGTGGGAGATGAGCGCAGATGGCTGGGTGGCATGTCATGTGTAGTGAGGTCTGATTCTTTTCTCGTGTTTAACGATGCGAAGCGACACAAATGAGAGACGGAGGCAACATGATCTTTAAAGGTCAGCTGGTCTTCAATCAAGACAGCCCAGTTTCCAGACGCAAGATATCGGGATTCTTGCGTCCCAATATCTTCCAGCTGGAGTCAGCTGGAAGAAGTTTTCAAGGGGTTTATAGATGGAGGTGATGAACTTTCATTTTTGTCGATATATCAGAAAGAGAGAGGAGAATGTGGTTATCAGGTGGGATGACAGCAGTGGATATAGTTGGTAAAGAAAGACAAAAAAAGGAGACAAATGGGAGTGAAAGTAGGAGAAGTATTGAAACCAGAAATGGTTGACGGCAGAGAGTAAGGTGAACCAAAACAAGGGATGGATGATGGAGAGAAAAGGGTAAAAAGGAGGAATATAATCTGAGGTGAAGGAAACACGGGAGGGGAAGATTGAAGTAAAACTGAAACAAGAACATTGCAGGAATGGGGGATGAAGGATGGAGAAAAGGAGCTGCAACTGTGGAAGAGCAATAAAAGGTTGTTGTGTCTGGACTCTGGGCCATTGATCACAATATGAAAAGTCCAGAATGTAACAGGGCCGTTAACATTTGGCTGGACACAAACAGCAGGTTCAATTTGACAACATTTTTTATTTTATCATCAACACTTTTCATTTGTCCAGCATCACCAGCCTGACCTGAACAGTTTTACAGACGTTTACGGCGCCACTCTGCTTCTCTGAAGCAAATCAAACACACAATCTCTTTGGCCGATATCAAACAATCGAGTAAAGAATTCAGCTATAAAGCCCACGTTTGGACAAAAACAAGCAAATCTAACACACATCATTTAAAAAAACAAAGAAAAAAAAACAGAATGTGACGCTACAGCAGATTTTTCAAAGTTTTGGGGATCATTTCATTTTCAGCTTAGACAGACAGTTCCTATAACTTAAACCGTTTCTACTGTGTGGTTTTGTCTAAGCTTTAACAAGCTGAAGTCGAGCTCTCTGGAAAAAAAAAAGAAGAGAGGGAGAGAGAGATTGAAGTGTAAAGTTAGGAGACTTTAAGTAAAACAGATAAATTCAGATGCTTTAAATTCAACTTTGGATCGGATGGTTTTGGAGCAAAGTATATCAGTGTCTCTAACTTTAGGCTACATGTTCTCCCTCCTCCATGTGCAGGTCTGACACATTTTCCTTTAATAAACAGAAAATTACAGTTTCCAACTGACCTGTATGTGTTTAACCTGTGGGGAAACGTAGAAGGCTGATTAGAAAATGGCTGACCTGCTGCTAGCTGCTTGCTAGCATAGCGGTTGCTATGACGTGGCAATGAATAAGCTGGATTTACCCGGTTTATTGGACATGGTCCTTCTGGTAGGCATAGTTTATAGTTCTAGTGATTGTACAAAATATAATACTCTTAACTGTTCTGCTCTTTGAAGAGTAAGGCCATAAAAAGCTAATATTAGCTGGTTATCAGAGATGCTACTGCTAGCTTTGCTGACTGCTAAACAGTTACCATGGCGTAAAATAAAAGGGATGGGTGGTTCTTCTTCTACTCTGGAAATATCTTCATTTCCAAAATAATCAAATTGATTGTTATCGTGAGGAAAAAGCAGCCATCTTTCTTTAGCCGGCTAAGCGCTACGCTACGACATATAGCAGGAGAAAACTCCAGTCAGTTTAACGACTAATGAGATGCCAGAGAAAGTGAGAGAAGACCATATGAGACCTCATTAGAGTTTAATAGCTGATAGCTGTGCAGAACTTAAAGCATAATTCATGATTTCCTCATTAATCGTGACAGTAGAACAATATGAAGTGGTGTTTACCTCCAAAGCTTGCAGCGCTCAGCTCACTGACCCTCATGTCAGTGGAACACCGACAAAACTTATTTGGATCAGTTCTTTACCTGTGCGCGGTTAGAAATGAGCTCCAAAAATCATTTACATTTCATTAAAACGTGACTTTGATTAGGCAGGACAGCAGATCGAGGCAGCATACAGCAATCGAACTGATCCTAATTCTGCTGTCAGATTAGCCCTAATCTAGTGGTTTCTTCAGTTCCAACACTGCATTGTTTTCTGATTACCTGACGTGATTTTATAAAATAAAAAAGGCACATTTACAATGTGTTTGCTTCCAATAAACAGCAGATACACAAAGGGAATAACACAGATCGATCAGAGTGGTGTGAATATTACAGAGGAAACCTGTGTCTGAAAAAAGAACAACAAAAAAACCTTAAAAATCAAAACCTACACTTTTTTTTGGTCAATATGAAGAGAACAAATAAATAAAAACGAAACCATGATTGGAAGGACAGAGCAAGTAGCAAACAGGCTTATTCTAGTTCAGGCATAAACTGATCGATGTGTAAGATGCCAGTCTGGGGAAATCCACACAGCAGGAGGTTCCTTCGACAGTCGGCTTCTGGGGTAAATGTTAATGACGAAAAAATGTTTAAAGCTTTTTAGCTTGACGTATTTGGTAAATTTGGAATATAAAAAAAAAAAAAAAAAAAGTTAGCAGGCACTTGACGCGATGGCACTGAAAAACGTATGAAAGGCACAGGTGTGTGTGAAAGCTGGTGTGACACGCTCAGAGCGTTCCTCAGTGGAAATGTGTCACCAAACCGAAGGACGGTTCAGAGAACAACGGCTCCAGTCCGTGTCGAAGTCTGAGTGCATTCTGGAGCAGGGCTGGGAACAGAGCTGCTTCTGAAAGAAAACTCTGACACGTCCTTCGCACGGCCTGCTCAGCAGCGCCGAGGTTTTCTGGTCACTCGGAGAGGCGGAGCTACTCGCTGAAGCTGAAGTTGAGGCCGAGGCCGGAGATGTCGGTGGTCGGGGACGAAGGGCCCGCGCTGGACACGGCGCTGGACGGGATGCTGCCGTCTGCCCAGGAAAAGAAAAAAAAAAAGAAAGATGAAAGCCACAAGTACAGAAATGTGCATACGTATTTAAAAAGAAAAAAAAAACAGGTATCTGATCTGATGTGGTGATTTTATACACTGACCGACCGATAAACACACCATCGAGTTTTAGAAATGATCTTCACCAGATTCTAAAATAATTTGGCTCTCATGTCGTTAAAAATGTTACACACTCATTATTTAGGCCCGGGAACAAAAGGAGAGAGAAAAAAAGACTTTTCTGAAAGATACAAGCAGAGATTGATAGGAGAAGTGAGTAAGCAGAAAAGTCTTATCAACATGTGCTATATAAATCAACAGGTGCGATATAAATCAACAGGTTCTATATAAATCAACAGGTTCTATATAAATCAACAGGTGCGATATAAATCAACAGGTACTATACAAATCAACAGTGTGGCATCAAAACCAACAGGAAGCAGGCGGAGGCTTCATAGGAGGAGAAGAAAATAAAAACAAATCGAGTCACAGCTAAGAGGGATGAACTGGGTTGTTGAAACGGTTCTGTTGTTTCTACCAAGTGCTATTTAGCAACAACGTTCCTACTGATTTTGCTTCAGAGAGGAGAGTTTGTGTCTCAGATATTTATGTTTGCTGTTTCTACACTCAAACAGCTGGTAACTATAGAAAAAGACTGAAATGCCAATTATTTTTCTGCCTTTATTTTGGCGCCCCTTTTAGCACGGCACCCACATGCGTAGCGCCGTGCTAACCCATTTTTTGCGCCGCTGGTCTTCATGATGATGTTTTTAACATTTAGGAGACCTCTGAATGGAGTTTGCGACACTTGATTTGTTGACTGGTTTTTTTTTAACCAAAAAAAAAAAAATAAAATAAAATCAAACTTCCTTGCACTTAATGATCATGTCCTACTTTGTGTCACGCATTTACTTCAGATTGGAGTTTCTCTAAAAACTCCACTGTGCAGATACCCATCATCAGGGATCCGTAAGGAGTCGACCTCTTGTGTGACATTATAAAAACCACCATGCTGTTAGACTTACACCACAGAGGCTGACCCGGCGGACGAAGCGACGCCTCCGATCCGGAGGAGGACAGAGGCTGCTGAGGGCTGTAGAGAGACGTCTGACTTTGAGAGTCAAACAAACCAGAAAGTGCTGCAGAAGAAACAGAAACATCAGGCTCAAGTTCTGCTTTTCCCTGGACGTAAACCCAAATCCGACTGCATTATGGCAAACTGATGTTTGTGGAGAGATGTGGACCGAATGAGACTCGATAACAAGTAAAGCCGTTTACTGGGGATAAAGCTGGAGCTGAAACAAAAGCAAGAATACTTTGGCACATTTACTACACAGCCTGTTTGTGCACTTTATGTTGAGTTTGAAATAAATATAAATATCATGAAGCTTTGTAAATTTACTTTATTTTGAAAAGCCAACAGCTTCTGTCTGAACTGTGCACTGAGTGAAGTAAAACCAGAGAGGACAGTCTGAAGTGGAGGGACAGAAAAGGAGGAAGGAACCAAAGAGGTTAAAGTTGAATGTGTTTTTAGTTCAAGCCTCTGAAAAAACAACCCCAATTATTAACGCATGTTGCATTTGAACGACATCAACGTAGATAAGTAACATATTTTGGTCTTCATGCGTAACATTTCAGGTATGTTTTGAAGACTAGCTGATTATATTTGAACATCAGCGTCGTGTCAAAGCCCCACAATCCACCACGGTTTAAAGACATCCTACAGGAACAGACCTGTCACAATACAACACTTTACTGGACGATAAATTATTCCAGTAATTTGATAACGTTGTTTTGAGGGAATTTTTAAGTAATATATTGAAAATGGCTCAGTAATGCAAGTTTACCACTTCAAAGACTAATAAACTGTAATTCTGTAAAGAAGACTTTACACTGGAGGTGAAATAGTTCAAGTAACACCCACAAAAAAATCCCAACAAAAAACAGGAAATAAAATGGAAATTAAAATAAAAACACACAATCAAAACCTTAAATAAAATGGATTACAGAGTCTCAAATTATTTTTCAAAAAATATTAAACCTCAGAATGGAAATCATCGGGTGAATTTTACTTTATCCCGATTAATTGATTTATTGCTCAAAAAAAAAAAATCTTTTTACTTATTTTCCTCATCATAACAAATATAAACTCATTTCGATAAGAAAAAGAAAACAAAGTTACCTGCTATGAACAATCATCATCATAATCAAGTCCAGACAACAGCAGCTCAATCACATAATTATAAAATGTTTATGTTTTTGACACCTTTTCTAATGTCAGACATATTATAAAGTTGTATAAGAGCTGAATTTTCTCCAAACATTAACATCAGTGAGTGTTGAGCTTCCATGAGACCCACCTTTCATGGTTTTGGCCTGGGCCTCCCCGATGCTCTCGCACACCTTGCTGAGGAACTCCTCCACCTGCTTCAGGGAGAGAGAGTTGTGCAGTGTCTCCAGCGGGTAGATAGAGGGCACCATAGAGCAGCCTTCGAATCCTGCGGTTTAAAGAGGAGAGAGACAGAAAGACAGAGACGCTTCACTGTACCAGATCACTGGGTGCAGGGAGAGGAGAGGGGAAAGCAGCCAACTCTGAGCTTATTGGTTCTTCCTCAGGCAGCTGCTAGATCACTCCATGCCAAACCAAAAACAAAACAACCGATCTACAGCAAGACGAGAAATGACGAGACGAGACGAGACGAGACGAGACGGCCTTTTAGGGTTGGTTAGATGTGGCAGCACAGCAACAGGAGTCTCAGTTAATCAGAGCCACGTTACAAAAACACCCGTGAGGTTTCTCACCGGTTAATTGGCGAACGTTGTGTCGTGTGTACGCAGGAACGTGTTGCGTCCTCCGTAACCATGGCAACACAATGATTACAGTATATGACGCCGAGTTTGAAGGTACTTTGAAAGTGAAAATATGGCAAAAGTAACATTGTCACCTTCCTAAAATAATGGCTTAAATAATCGTCTTTTGGCAATTAAGAGGTGGTGATTTTTATTGCAAAAATTATTTTTGGCAAAACAAAAAAAAACTATTATTTTATGAAGGTGACTATATGATTTTTTTTTTAAAAAAAACCTTAAAGTTGCAGTCACGGTTATGAACAACAGACCTTTTGAATTTGAAGGAAGAAGAAATAGGAAATGTCAGAGTTTAAAATGTACTTAAAAAGTTGGATTTATTTAGGATTTAAAGGAACCGAGAAGTGAGGAAGTAGCGATCATCCAGAGGAAAGTTNTTTGATGACCGTCCATCAGTGACGTCTGCACATGAATCTGAAAATAATTCCCACCTCTTGATCTTTTTATCAGGTTACAAACACAAACTTCAATGCATTTCAGAGCAGCGTTTCCATTATTGCGCAATTTGATATTTTCAAAAATAAATCTGCTTCATGAAAACACGTCAATTAAAAAAAAAATTGTTGATAAAAAGTTTTCGCCAGAATGAGGAGGTTTTTCGGACGAAATTAGTGTAGTCAGCAAACTACGGTGGGAACACTTCTCTCTTTTTTTTATAGCATCGCACAAGTCACATGATCAACAACAGGATGTTACTGGGGGCGGAAAAGACGAAGAAGATGGCAGGAAGTGGTAGGAGGATGATGGCGCAGCATGTTTTTTTTATGAACTTATAACTTATTCAGGTGTGATTTTAATTGATGTTCTCAATAAATGGAAACACCTCAATCGTGAAATCGTATTTTATTTTTGTCAACATTAGCAGAATATCAGTTTTGTGCAGGTTTGTAATGGAAACAGGTAATGATGCGGAGTTTCAAACAAGCAGCTTTAACGTCTTGGGGAAACAACTCAGTCTGGATGGAGACCGACACCATTCATTTTAAACTTCTGCCATTTTTTTTATTGGTTATTATGTCTGGACTTTGTTGACTATTCTACCAATTTATTTTACTCTAATTATGTTTTTCAGTCTCCATCAGGTTTTCTTCCAGGATTGCCCCGAACTACTTCACTTTCTCACGGCATGATGCTGCCACCGCCATGCTCTGCTGTCTCTTCAGATTCACGCCCTACGTAGTTGGGGGTATTTTTGGTGTGATTATGTGGATTTAAGTTTATACATAATGTCGAAAAAATTCAAGGTGTACAAATAATTTTTCAAAGCTTTAAAATATTTTTGAGTCACTATGATATATGATAAGGTATTTATGAAAGCTCAAAGCTTTTGACTGCGTTTTATTTCCTCAGTTCGCAGAGTTTGTTCACCCCGCACCTGTCCTGGCGGCGTTTCTCAAATGAAATCAGCTTTTGATAAGCCTCTTACAATCCATTCTGCTTTAACAAAGCGCTCTTCACCCTGGTGGGAAGCGACCGCTCTTTGATTAGGCTTTTCTAGACGACCTGCTGGAAAACAGCTGTCACCTCGTTAAGGGAGTAAATTAAAGAAGCTGCGGCGCTAAACGTCGAAGCCGAATGAACACACTGCCGTGTTTGAGTCAGAGATGAAAAGTCTCCCAGACAGAATTACATCAGGGATTCTTTTCTTTTTTTAACTTCCGGTGAGTCGGCCGTCTCTGTTTGTCCGTTCAGTCCCTCAGGAGGAGTCAATTAGATGTGGGGGTGTCCCCATGGCAACGCACAGGAGCAACAGGGGAAGGCATGAGTCATCACTGTTGTTAAAGGAGATTTAGAGAAGAGGAGGAGGAAGAGGAGGAAGAGGAGGTAAATGGGGTGAGGCAAGAAAGATGTAGGAGGTCCACTCTTCTGTTGGTATGGAGGGCTGAAATCAAAAGCAGAGGATGAGAAAAAGTTGAGAGGGTAAGACGGCAGGAGAAAGCAACAAAGACTGAATTTGAGCAAGAAAAGAAACAAAGACGTAACGCAAGTAGAGAAACGGAGATTAAACAAGAGGTAACACACGTGGAAATGAGAAAATGTTTATATATTTGGTAGACTCTGTCATCCAAAGGGATTTGCCAATAGGGATGACGTTACACATTTAATATCAGAGGCAACAATAAGCTACTTAGAAGGAAGATATTCAGGTTCATAGCGCCCAATCAGAGATTTAAAAAGGAACGGCAAAAGCAAATGAGGTGGATTAGCAGTGCTTGCTGACAACTCATTTTGTCATCCAGGAAACTTTACTGTGGAATATTATGACATTATTAGGGTCATGCTTAGAAATGTAAAAAACACGACAATAAAGTTCATTTTGAGAATAAAGTCTAAATAATACAGTAGAATTCAACTTTATTCTCTTAAGTGACTTTATTCTCGTACTTTAACAAGAATAAAGTTGTAAAATATCCATATTCGACATGGTAGATCATGCCCTCGGTTCCTGGGAATGTCAGCATCTTTCAACAATCACATTGTGCAGCATCTTCAGTCAGAGGCGTCTTCAGGTTTGTTGCTGGACTGTTACTGGAAATCATTCCTACCCAAAGCATCACCATCCACAGTGACTCTTCAGAGATACTTGGATGATATGATTACAACAACATTTCATTTCCATTTGTATTAAGAGTATTTGTGAATCCTTTTCCTCTAGACGTCTGGGAGAGTTCTGCGCCTTCAACCTTGAGGAGCGGTAAAAACATCATTAGTGTTTTCATCAGATTGCCAACAGCACGAGACAAAGCAAAAGTACTTTTCAATTTTCCGTACTGAATCTGAATTCTGTCAGAGTTGACGGGTTTAGCAAAGAGGTAAATTCAGTGGTTGCTAAAAGTAGGAGATGTTCTGACAAACTGGGTCTTCAAGAGTTTCTTGAAGACGACAGAGGAATGCCTCACTTCTGGTAGATACGTTGTCAAGAGTCTGAACTGTACACCACTTGTGGACTGTGAAGGCACTGCTGTTTATGACTGGAGTGACCGAGTCGTAACGCAAGTCTTTAAGGCTAACATCGAAGACTTGAATCTGACGCAGACAGCTATGGGTGGCCAGTGGAGCTTCATAAACATCGTACCCTTTTAGGCTGATTGAAGACGTCTGGACTGTCTAAATATTTTCATAGTACAGATTTGGAGACCGGCTAGCGGAGCGTTGGAGCAATCAAGGTGGGAGATGAGCGCAGATGGCTGGGTGGCATGTCATGTGTAGTGAGGTCTGATTCTTTTCTCGTGTTTAACGATGCGAAGCGACACAAATGAGAGACGGAGGCAACATGATCTTTAAAGGTCAGCTGGTCTTCAATCAAGACAGCCCAGTTTCCAGACGCAAGATATCGGGATTCTTGCGTCCCAATATCTTCCAGCTGGAGTCAGCTGGAAGAAGTTTTCAAGGGGTTTATAGATGGAGGTGATGAACTTTCATTTTTGTCGATATATCAGAAAGAGAGAGGAGAATGTGGTTATCAGGTGGGATGACAGCAGTGGATATAGTTGGTAAAGAAAGACAAAAAAAGGAGACAAATGGGAGTGAAAGTAGGAGAAGTATTGAAACCAGAAATGGTTGACGGCAGAGAGTAAGGTGAACCAAAACAAGGGATGGATGATGGAGAGAAAAGGGTAAAAAGGAGGAATATAATCTGAGGTGAAGGAAACACGGGAGGGGAAGATTGAAGTAAAACTGAAACAAGAACATTGCAGGAATGGGGGATGAAGGATGGAGAAAAGGAGCTGCAACTGTGGAAGAGCAATAAAAGGTTGTTGTGTCTGGACTCTGGGCCATTGATCACAATATGAAAAGTCCAGAATGTAACAGGGCCGTTAACATTTGGCTGGACACAAACAGCAGGTTCAATTTGACAACATTTTTTATTTTATCATCAACACTTTTCATTTGTCCAGCATCACCAGCCTGACCTGAACAGTTTTACAGACGTTTACGGCGCCACTCTGCTTCTCTGAAGCAAATCAAACACACAATCTCTTTGGCCGATATCAAACAATCGAGTAAAGAATTCAGCTATAAAGCCCACGTTTGGACAAAAACAAGCAAATCTAACACACATCATTTAAAAAAACAAAGAAAAAAAAACAGAATGTGACGCTACAGCAGATTTTTCAAAGTTTTGGGGATCATTTCATTTTCAGCTTAGACAGACAGTTCCTATAACTTAAACCGTTTCTACTGTGTGGTTTTGTCTAAGCTTTAACAAGCTGAAGTCGAGCTCTCTGGAAAAAAAAAAGAAGAGAGGGAGAGAGAGATTGAAGTGTAAAGTTAGGAGACTTTAAGTAAAACAGATAAATTCAGATGCTTTAAATTCAACTTTGGATCGGATGGTTTTGGAGCAAAGTATATCAGTGTCTCTAACTTTAGGCTACATGTTCTCCCTCCTCCATGTGCAGGTCTGACACATTTTCCTTTAATAAACAGAAAATTACAGTTTCCAACTGACCTGTATGTGTTTAACCTGTGGGGAAACGTAGAAGGCTGATTAGAAAATGGCTGACCTGCTGCTAGCTGCTTGCTAGCATAGCGGTTGCTATGACGTGGCAATGAATAAGCTGGATTTACCCGGTTTATTGGACATGGTCCTTCTGGTAGGCATAGTTTATAGTTCTAGTGATTGTACAAAATATAATACTCTTAACTGTTCTGCTCTTTGAAGAGTAAGGCCATAAAAAGCTAATATTAGCTGGTTATCAGAGATGCTACTGCTAGCTTTGCTGACTGCTAAACAGTTACCATGGCGTAAAATAAAAGGGATGGGTGGTTCTTCTTCTACTCTGGAAATATCTTCATTTCCAAAATAATCAAATTGATTGTTATCGTGAGGAAAAAGCAGCCATCTTTCTTTAGCCGGCTAAGCGCTACGCTACGACATATAGCAGGAGAAAACTCCAGTCAGTTTAACGACTAATGAGATGCCAGAGAAAGTGAGAGAAGACCATATGAGACCTCATTAGAGTTTAATAGCTGATAGCTGTGCAGAACTTAAAGCATAATTCATGATTTCCTCATTAATCGTGACAGTAGAACAATATGAAGTGGTGTTTACCTCCAAAGCTTGCAGCGCTCAGCTCACTGACCCTCATGTCAGTGGAACACCGACAAAACTTATTTGGATCAGTTCTTTACCTGTGCGCGGTTAGAAATGAGCTCCAAAAATCATTTACATTTCATTAAAACGTGACTTTGATTAGGCAGGACAGCAGATCGAGGCAGCATACAGCAATCGAACTGATCCTAATTCTGCTGTCAGATTAGCCCTAATCTAGTGGTTTCTTCAGTTCCAACACTGCATTGTTTTCTGATTACCTGACGTGATTTTATAAAATAAAAAAGGCACATTTACAATGTGTTTGCTTCCAATAAACAGCAGATACACAAAGGGAATAACACAGATCGATCAGAGTGGTGTGAATATTACAGAGGAAACCTGTGTCTGAAAAAAGAACAACAAAAAAACCTTAAAAATCAAAACCTACACTTTTTTTTGGTCAATATGAAGAGAACAAATAAATAAAAACGAAACCATGATTGGAAGGACAGAGCAAGTAGCAAACAGGCTTATTCTAGTTCAGGCATAAACTGATCGATGTGTAAGATGCCAGTCTGGGGAAATCCACACAGCAGGAGGTTCCTTCGACAGTCGGCTTCTGGGGTAAATGTTAATGACGAAAAAATGTTTAAAGCTTTTTAGCTTGACGTATTTGGTAAATTTGGAATATAAAAAAAAAAAAAAAAAAAGTTAGCAGGCACTTGACGCGATGGCACTGAAAAACGTATGAAAGGCACAGGTGTGTGTGAAAGCTGGTGTGACACGCTCAGAGCGTTCCTCAGTGGAAATGTGTCACCAAACCGAAGGACGGTTCAGAGAACAACGGCTCCAGTCCGTGTCGAAGTCTGAGTGCATTCTGGAGCAGGGCTGGGAACAGAGCTGCTTCTGAAAGAAAACTCTGACACGTCCTTCGCACGGCCTGCTCAGCAGCGCCGAGGTTTTCTGGTCACTCGGAGAGGCGGAGCTACTCGCTGAAGCTGAAGTTGAGGCCGAGGCCGGAGATGTCGGTGGTCGGGGACGAAGGGCCCGCGCTGGACACGGCGCTGGACGGGATGCTGCCGTCTGCCCAGGAAAAGAAAAAAAAAAAGAAAGATGAAAGCCACAAGTACAGAAATGTGCATACGTATTTAAAAAGAAAAAAAAAACAGGTATCTGATCTGATGTGGTGATTTTATACACTGACCGACCGATAAACACACCATCGAGTTTTAGAAATGATCTTCACCAGATTCTAAAATAATTTGGCTCTCATGTCGTTAAAAATGTTACACACTCATTATTTAGGCCCGGGAACAAAAGGAGAGAGAAAAAAAGACTTTTCTGAAAGATACAAGCAGAGATTGATAGGAGAAGTGAGTAAGCAGAAAAGTCTTATCAACATGTGCTATATAAATCAACAGGTGCGATATAAATCAACAGGTTCTATATAAATCAACAGGTTCTATATAAATCAACAGGTGCGATATAAATCAACAGGTACTATACAAATCAACAGTGTGGCATCAAAACCAACAGGAAGCAGGCGGAGGCTTCATAGGAGGAGAAGAAAATAAAAACAAATCGAGTCACAGCTAAGAGGGATGAACTGGGTTGTTGAAACGGTTCTGTTGTTTCTACCAAGTGCTATTTAGCAACAACGTTCCTACTGATTTTGCTTCAGAGAGGAGAGTTTGTGTCTCAGATATTTATGTTTGCTGTTTCTACACTCAAACAGCTGGTAACTATAGAAAAAGACTGAAATGCCAATTATTTTTCTGCCTTTATTTTGGCGCCCCTTTTAGCATGGCACCCACATGCGTAGCGCCGTGCTAACCCATTTTTTGCGCCGCTGGTCTTCATGATGATGTTTTTAACATTTAGGAGACCTCTGAATGGAGTTTGCGACACTTGATTTGTTGACTGGTTTTTTTTTAACCAAAAAAAAAAAATAAAATAAAATAAAATCAAACTTCCTTGCACTTAATGATCATGTCCTACTTTGTGTCACGCATTTACTTCAGATTGGAGTTTCTCTAAAAACTCCACTGTGCAGATACCCATCATCAGGGATCCGTAAGGAGTCGACCTCTTGTGTGACATTATAAAAACCACCATGCTGTTAGACTTACACCACAGAGGCTGACCCGGCGGACGAAGCGACGCCTCCGATCCGGAGGAGGACAGAGGCTGCTGAGGGCTGTAGAGAGACGTCTGACTTTGAGAGTCAAACAAACCAGAAAGTGCTGCAGAAGAAACAGAAACATCAGGCTCAAGTTCTGCTTTTCCCTGGACGTAAACCCAAATCCGACTGCATTATGGCAAACTGATGTTTGTGGAGAGATGTGGACCGAATGAGACTCGATAACAAGTAAAGCCGTTTACTGGGGATAAAGCTGGAGCTGAAACAAAAGCAAGAATACTTTGGCACATTTACTACACAGCCTGTTTGTGCACTTTATGTTGAGTTTGAAATAAATATAAATATCATGAAGCTTTGTAAATTTACTTTATTTTGAAAAGCCAACAGCTTCTGTCTGAACTGTGCACTGAGTGAAGTAAAACCAGAGAGGACAGTCTGAAGTGGAGGGACAGAAAAGGAGGAAGGAACCAAAGAGGTTAAAGTTGAATGTGTTTTTAGTTCAAGCCTCTGAAAAAACAACCCCAATTATTAACGCATGTTGCATTTGAACGACATCAACGTAGATAAGTAACATATTTTGGTCTTCATGCGTAACATTTCAGGTATGTTTTGAAGACTAGCTGATTATATTTGAACATCAGCGTCGTGTCAAAGCCCCACAATCCACCACGGTTTAAAGACATCCTACAGGAACAGACCTGTCACAATACAACACTTTACTGGACGATAAATTATTCCAGTAATTTGATAACGTTGTTTTGAGGGAATTTTTAAGTAATATATTGAAAATGGCTCAGTAATGCAAGTTTACCACTTCAAAGACTAATAAACTGTAATTCTGTAAAGAAGACTTTACACTGGAGGTGAAATAGTTCAAGTAACACCCACAAAAAAATCCCAACAAAAAACAGGAAATAAAATGGAAATTAAAATAAAAACACACAATCAAAACCTTAAATAAAATGGATTACAGAGTCTCAAATTATTTTTCAAAAAATATTAAACCTCAGAATGGAAATCATCGGGTGAATTTTACTTTATCCCGATTAATTGATTTATTGCTCAAAAAAAAAAAATCTTTTTACTTATTTTCCTCATCATAACAAATATAAACTCATTTCGATAAGAAAAAGAAAACAAAGTTACCTGCTATGAACAATCATCATCATAATCAAGTCCAGACAACAGCAGCTCAATCACATAATTATAAAATGTTTATGTTTTTGACACCTTTTCTAATGTCAGACATATTATAAAGTTGTATAAGAGCTGAATTTTCTCCAAACATTAACATCAGTGAGTGTTGAGCTTCCATGAGACCCACCTTTCATGGTTTTGGCCTGGGCCTCCCCGATGCTCTCGCACACCTTGCTGAGGAACTCCTCCACCTGCTTCAGGGAGAGAGAGTTGTGCAGTGTCTCCAGCGGGTAGATAGAGGGCACCATAGAGCAGCCTTCGAATCCTGCGGTTTAAAGAGGAGAGAGACAGAAAGACAGAGACGCTTCACTGTACCAGATCACTGGGTGCAGGGAGAGGAGAGGGGAAAGCAGCCAACTCTGAGCTTATTGGTTCTTCCTCAGGCAGCTGCTAGATCACTCCATGCCAAACCAAAAACAAAACAACCGATCTACAGCAAGACGAGAAATGACGAGACGAGACGAGACGAGACGAGACGGCCTTTTAGGGTTGGTTAGATGTGGCAGCACAGCAACAGGAGTCTCAGTTAATCAGAGCCACGTTACAAAAACACCCGTGAGGTTTCTCACCGGTTAATTGGCGAACGTTGTGTCATGTGTACGCAGGAACGTGTTGCGTCCTCCGTAACCATGGCAACACAATGATTACAGTATATGACGCCGAGTTTGAAGGTACTTTGAAAGTGAAAATATGGCAAAAGTAACATTGTCACCTTCCTAAAATAATGGCTTAAATAATCGTCTTTTGGCAATTAAGAGGTGGTGATTTTTATTGCAAAAATTATTTTTGGCAAAACAAAAAAAAACTATTATTTTATGAAGGTGACTATATGATTTTTTTTTTAAAAAAAACCTTAAAGTTGCAGTCACGGTTATGAACAACAGACCTTTTGAATTTGAAGGAAGAAGAAATAGGAAATGTCAGAGTTTAAAATGTACTTAAAAAGTTGGATTTATTTAGGATTTAAAGGAACCGAGAAGTGAGGAAGTAGCGATCATCCAGAGGAAAGTTTAACTATTTTACAGAGAATCCTGCACCTGGTCAGGTGAACGCAAGTTAATTGTAAAAAAAAAAAACACAAACCAAACGTTGGTTAGGACTAGACTGAAACTACAATGAAAAATTAAATGTAGTCATGACTTCCAGTAAAACCAGTAAGTCTGTCCCAGACAGGAGGAACCTCCTCTTTATACCCACCTTTAAAAAGAACCAACATCACAGGTACAAAATACCAACCCAAGAAAACAGGAAGAGAAAAAAGAATGAAATGTGACCCTGCTGTAACCCAACGCAGCATCCAGGCACTAAGACGGAGCGCTTCCACCTCTGAACCTCTGGAGCAGGATCAGTAAACCTGGTTAAATTAACCGATTCTCCGGGTGAATCACGCCTCAACTAGAAACCTTTTAGCAAAATACAAACAAAAAAAAGCATCACTTCTCAAAGGCTAGGTCAGTCTGACAGGTTTTACCCCATTTCATTTCCAAAAACAAAAGCGCCCAGGTTCTTCAAATTCACTCTTTATTTTTAAGCATTTCCATGAATCATGCTGATAAAAATAAGTCATAAAAATGTTTCGGTCTCACATCTTGCATATTAAGTCAGTTTGGTTCTGCTCTCCATGTGGGTCAGCTGACCCAGATTATCCAACCCCTGACCAAAACCAAAGGATTCTGCTTCACTTCCTGCTGGTAGCTCTTCACTACAGAAGCCTGTACTAGGGCTGGGCAATAAATCGATTTTAGTGATTAATCGGATTTTCTGCTTTTGAAGATTTCATTTTTGGAAAAATTTTGACATTTTTTCAGTCCCACCAATCCACTTGTTGGGTTTCCAGAGTGATGTTAACCCACCCGAGAACCGCCATCTTGTTTGACAAGCTCATATTTCGACTCACAGAAGAAATTACCGAAATAAAAGTCATTAGTAATTTTTTAAAGAAAAAAAATGAGGATAAATAATAAATTAAAATTGAATTTGGTAATAACAAAAGTAAATCAGATGTTATTTTTGAGCCATATTGCCCAGTCCTCACAGGTACTCAGCAGGCCAGTGGATCTCTTTTCTTCATCACTGATATCTGATACAGTTCAGAGTTCATTCAGGGACAGACTGAATGGGGGCACAAAGGAGCCGTTATGGCAGGTCCTTCCTCCACAAGCTCAATGAGTGTTTATATTGCAGTATTTTCTGTGAATAGTCCATTTTTTTATGTAGAAACATACACGCACTAGTCTGGGTATTTATCGTATCGTTTATCGTGATAAATGTTGATTTATCACTGTCATGATAAATTCCATCAGTGCTGTTTTAAATCTTCCCAACACTGTTCAAACTGTCAGGAATGACAGTTTTACTATTTTCTCTGTTCGTTTAATAAAAGCATCAATAAATACAGTTACTGTGTGCAGTTTAGTGACACAAATCATATTCTTTATGTAGCCAGAGTCCTAAGGAAGCATATAGGAATACTTTTTAAGAGCATTATTTATGTTTGTGGGGCTTTAATTGCTGAGTCAGTCACAAAATTACCTTAAAAACATGTAACAAATAGTTCTTGTCACTTATCACAAAAGTATTGCAAAATATCACGATAAAAATGTAACTCCATATCGCCCAGCCTTAACATGCACATTTTTAAATCAACCTACTCAGTTGCATATTTCTTTGAATCCAAAATATGCTGTTATTACTATTACCATGCACAGGCTCTTATCCATACTTTGTTTTTTACATTTTCACCTTTTTGTGAATCTGAATGCTTTGGCCTGCCTGCCACTTTGCTGCTGTCACACTGAGGGGAAATAAGAGTCATTTCTATTCTACTCTAGTATCTAGGAAAGAAGGTCAATAATTTTCTTCCACTGACACAATACAATAAGACTAGCAGCATAAAAGATTCACACAGAAGCTCCAGATGAAGAGCAGAAAATGACAGAAGCTGATGATCCACTCCAACATGGGCCACCTGGCCATGAAGCCTCCTGGGAGAGCGGCGGTGTACTGACACCGAGTCGCGCTCTGGCTCTGTAAAAGGCCTAATTGGTGCCATTAACACCAGACGATGCTCTGAAAACACATCAGTGCTGAAGAAAAATGGCTCTTCTCACATCCACTCCAACAAACCTGAAACTAAACCAGAGGGCCTGATTCTCATTTGAGAATCATTATCTTTAGATCGTTGTCTTTATGATAAAAGTGATGCTTAACATCTGCTAGATGAAAACTACTACACATATTATAAGTTTATTTTTAATTTTTGCTTATGTTTTTTTAATCCAAACGTTAAGCAATTACATAATACATCACATTCACATATATCCTAACTGTGTAATTAAAATGTTATCTTACTTTTGCTGCTCTGGGAAGAGCAAAAAAAAAAAAAAAAAGACGTCATCTATTTCTGTGTAGAATTGATATTCATTGTATTTTTACAGAATGTTTTCACATTGTGAGTCTCTGATTATTCTCATTATTCTTTTGATTAACCGATTAATAACTGGATAGCAAAATATGCTTAAGATATCTAACAGGATTTGAACCTGACGAGTTCAGCAAAGAACATACTTAGAGACAAAGAAGGATGTTTTCATCTTAAAAGCAAAAATGTAGAAACTTTTCTTACAGTTCTTACCTAAGTACAGGTCTGAGTGTTTTTTTCTTTCAAATTGCCTGTTTTTTAGTTAACGATTAATCGATTACTAAATTAGTTGATGATTATTTCAAGCTCCAATTAATCACAATAAATCGTTTCAGTCCTACTTTTTAATTTAATTTTCTACTCTGTAAATGATTCTAAATTTTGTCAGCGAAATACAGAGAGGAAGACGATGCTGCCTTCCTTGGTCAGCATGCAAGCGTTTTTAACACTGTGGTCATGAACCAGACCCACCGCTAGAAAACCCAGACAGACAACAACAGGCAGGAAACCAAGCCATGACAACCAACGCAGGAGGCTACAGCTGATGCAAAGCTCAGAGGGCATCGACGGCAGCCATCTTTCGCCTGTACCGGTCCGAAGGCGCAAGACGGGCGTGAAGGGGGAGGGGCGGAGGGGGGAAGCACGCGGGCTACAGGGGCTGACCGTGGAGACAGTCGGAGAGCTCAAGGCCGCACGTCAGCTGGATCCTGAGGAGGCGCAGGTGGTAGGGACAGTGGTGCAGGTGATAGGAGAAGGACCTGTCCAGGGCGACAGGGTCAAACCCTTGCAGCGCCAGCTCAGCGAGTTCATCTGAGGGCTCTGAGGGAGGAGAGGCAGAGGACAGAGAGAGGAGGAAAATGACAGCACAGCGGAGCAGCAGGAGGAACATGAGGAGAGGCGGGAGCTAACGAGCTTAAACCACGGCATCTTTAGACAGGAAGACCTGAGACACCACTTGTCTTTTCTCGAAGATCTTCAGTGAGTTGACTGACAGAAACATCCTGATCCTGGTTCTGTTTTGTTCTCACGTTTCCATTTTTCAGATTAAACAACTAATTTCAGACCAAGATAAAAGCAAAAACAGCAAGAAGCAATTTCCCAATGATGATTTCATTTGTAAAGAGAAGGAAGCTATACCAGCCTGACCCTGTCAACAAGGAGCTGACCTCTTGGCTGATAGGACATCTAGGAAACAATAACGACCAACAAACATTCCTCTAGATCAGGGGTGGGCAACTCCAGGACTCAGGAGCCGGTGTCCCGCAACTTTTCAATGCGTCTCTACTTCAACACACCCGAGTCAAATAATGAAGTCATTGACGGGAGCCTAGAGAATCTGACTGCAGATGATTCAGATACTTGATGAAGTGTGTTGGACCAGAGAGGCGTCTAAGAGTTGCAGGACACTAGGCCTTAAGGACTGGGATCGCCCACTCCTGCTCTAGAGGGATTTTGGTCTGCTCTTCCTCGAAGATCTATTGTTTAACATCAAACCACAACATTACAAACGAGTTGCAGGCTGGACTTGAATCGGCCAGTTCAAGGCAGGCAAATGCAACCCATACACGGCTTTTTCCGCTGCGATCTGAACAGCCCAATTCCGATCGTCCCACACCCCAAAAATCCGATCTGTGCCACTTCCACACATGGAACTAAAAATCTTGCATGGCAGTAATTTATTTCCATTCACTCTGATACCCTTAAATAAAATCCAGCAGATCCAATTGCAGGTTTGGGACAAAACTGCAAACCTACCGAGACGAGGCCACATCTGTAGACTGACAGGCTGAGCAAGCAGAGGCCTGTGGTAACTCTGGAGGAGCTGCAGACATCCACAGCTCAGAGTCAGAGAATCTGTCCAACAGGACAACTATTAGTCTTTAACGTCCCAACTCTGGCTTTTCGGGACGAGTGGCAAGGAGTCGTCAATTGGGTAAAAAAAACAACAACAAAAAAACCCACAAACAAGAAGCCCTGTTTAAAGTTGGCCACAAGCTGTACTGGAAACACACCAAACATGTTTAACAAACACATAAAGTTTGAACTTTTGGGTCTACACGCAAAGCTAAACTCAGGACAATCTTTAAAAGACGTCCAGCTTTAGAAGGGCTGGACGTCAATCTACCAACAAATGTGAACACAGAACCAGAGCCATAACGGTTCAGATTAAAGCATATTCTAATGTTAGACTGGCCCAGTCAAAGTCCAGATGAGAGCCAACAGAAAACAGAGACGTAATTTTTACACTTTCCCACTCTCTAGATGTGCAGGGCTAGCAGAGGCACACCCCAAATCACCTGCTGCTGCCAAATATTTATCAGGTCATTTTATTTTAGGTTTCCTGCATTTCGAAAATATATTGGAACAGGTGAGCTGAATCTCATCTGTATCCATCAAAATATTCAGTTTTACAGCTCACATTTAAAGATGTACATTCTTATCATTATTTGCGTAGTTTCAGTGATTTTCTATGAAACGTAAAGATACAGACCTGAAGGAAAAGATCATGTGTTTGGAAACAATCTGTCTGATAAAACCATTTACTGAATTATCAGAAAAATACGAGGAAGGTGCCAAGAACAGGCAACATTCGACTTCTTTGTTTGTGTAAGACGCATAAAAATATACAATCAAGAAAAATGTTCATGGACGAGTTCTGTTGATCCGGTTCCAAGTCGTTCATCCATTTTCATCCGTTCTCTGAATGAATTGCAGATTCAATACAAGGTCACAGCTACTGACGCAAGCAGCACATCCAAGTGTTTTTAATGATGTTGAGATTCTGAGGATGTCCTGATCGATAGACACCGGTTCAACCAGCCGTCTGCCGGGAACAAAGGCTTTGTGCTACAATAATATTAGTATAGTCAAGCTGTAACAAGCCAATAAGAACAGCTTCCTTGTTGTTGATGTCAAATCTAAGATGTGCTTTCTGGCTCATAAGTAGAACAAAAGGCAAAAAAGCATCAGTTTTGGGGGGTCACATCTTTTTAAATGCGTTTTTGAAGTAAAAAATGTGGGCAAAAAAAGAGAAAATTTAAAAAATAAGGCTCTTTATGCTCTGTCAGTTACTTTGGATAACATTTGAACAAACTGATCATATTTCCTCGAGTTTTTGACATTTGGTGAATTTATTTTTGTCTCCCTTATTCTCAACAGATTACAATTAAGATAAAAAATAATAATATACAAGCATCTGATAATTACTCCTTCTGGTCTAAGAGTCAAAGTCTACCTAAAATGCAAGGCCAGGTTTTCTTCCAGCAACAAATGACAGAAAATCTTTCTGTAAACTGCACAAAACAAGCAGCACAAGTCCCACTCTGCACGCCGGGAACAGGTGCAAACACCATGAGGTTCACGCCTTTCAGACGCCAATGTACCCCAACTATAGTGAACATAGTAAATATCAGTTTAAATTTCACACTAAAGAGGCATAAAGAAACTGTCAACATGCCAGAATGTGTAAAACCCCAGCAGACACCCACAAACCAGAGGCCTAACTCATATTTAGATTAGTTGGGAAATTAATTAATTAGATCAATTAATGACACAAAATTTAACAAGCTCCAAAATTTTAACACAATTGATTATATTTTTTATTTTACGTACAGAAGTATTGAGCCAGAACCTTTGTGTCTGCGTGTTTCTGGTACGACACAAGCGACATGCGCAACAACAGCGATGGACGACGAAGCCTCTTCTCTTTTCCCGGTGGGGGTTCATTTGCTCATGAGTTAGCCCATCAACTGTGCTTAAGAACTGACTACTAAAATATCACGATAGTGACTCTGTAATAACTTCTCATAGTCTTATGTTACACTGTGCAGAAGCTTCATTCACCTCAAAACACAGGACGTTTTATACTGGAGATGAAACTGACGGCATGACCTACTTTCTGATCAACCATCTGGACACTTGGGGACAATAAAAAAATAAAATTCAGTTTCTAGATAGTCCGTTGACTTTTAAATATGTAAAAAAATAAAATAAAATAAAAAAATGAGAGAGTGATGTCATGTTAAAAATAAAACCGAATTCAGCAGAATGCACACCTTTGAGCCCGATATACACGCCCTATTCAAAACTGCACTAAATCAGCTGAAGTCCTCCAAAGATGTGACGGAGATTCTCCACAACATCTCCTTTATGTTCTCACTTTTACACCACAACCCACATCAATACACAGAGAAACAGAAGACCACAGCCTTTGGAAAGTACAAATGACTCAAAAAGGAGCAAAAGGTTTTGAGTGAGTACAAGTTATGATGTGCACTAGATTGTCTACACGTGGAAATATATCCGAGGAAGAAGATATATTCCAGAAAGAGAACAATTTGTGAGGAAATGGCAGAATCAGGGAGGTAAATTAACCTTGAACAGGCAGAGCAGGTGGTGTTAGCAGTGCAGGCTGAAAACAACACAAGGCTCATCAAACACCGAGGCTGTGCGGTGAAACAGAAACTCTGATGGAAAAATAAATGAAAACGTTCATTCGATGTCATTGACTCAGTCAAATCTCCACATCCCCAAAGGTGGTTTATCTTTTTTTTACCCCCCCCACAAAAGGGTCATGCAAGATGAACTAGAGGATTGTCGAAGTATACTTGAAGAAAAGCGGACATACCATTGGTCGGATGCCTGGCAAACGACACAGAAAACCTCTTTACTGCCGGCATAGAGAGCAGTTCTGAGGAGATAAGAGAGGTAACTGGGATTACTGGAGGTGCCGGTATCTGTGCCAGTCTGTCAGCCTGCGTGCTCTTCAAAGAAATAAAAAAAAGAAAAAAAAAAAGAGGAGGAAACAGAAATAGGGCAGAGTTGGCTTTCTGATTCACACACGTTCTGCCAACAACTCTGAGGGAAAATGAAGAGAAGAATGAGAAGTAAAAAAAAAAAAAAGAGGTTGAAAATTTGATCTCAATTTGATCTTTTAGCCAAACGGAAAAGATGCATAACTTGTAATAATCTGTCAATAGATAAAATGTCGATAAAATACACTAAGACATGCTGACGTAATCCAGAGCAAAGACAAAAATATCAGTTTGTTACAGGTGTCTCAACCTGCTGGGTATAAACAAAATACCAGGAAGTTAAAACATGTTAAGAAATCTCTCAACACTCTGAACCACATCGAGTTTCTCAGTCCATATTGAAACATTCTGAAGTTTTACAGAGGAAAATAACTTATTTTCTGTCTATGGAAATTGCGCTGCAGTGGTTAGAGTTTGGGAGCACGCATTTTATTCCAACGGTGCAAAATCTATAGGTAAATAAAACCAAAAATATTGAAATATAACATAGTGACATATGTTATATAGTCTTAATTCCAGTGAAGAGAAGTCTTCAAGATTTAAAGATTTAGCCGATTTCAGCCATTTAAATAAAGACAAAATGAACATTTTCAAATGAGTTTGATCACATGGGTTTCAAATGAGTTTGATCACCCATGTGATCAAACATGGGTTTGATCACATGGGTTTGATCACATGGGTTGTGATCAAACCCATGTGATCAACTGAGCTGCACAACAACTGCCTGCGGATAATAAGTATGACTGATTGAATGAAACGTTGATTGGTTCATATACTCACCCTTCATCATTCTTACTGTTGGTGCAGTGAAGTTTTAATATCAGAGCAACACCACTAGGTGGAAAAATTCCTGCCGTGCACAATTTAATCCCAACTCAAATAACTTACCATTTTGCTGTGATTATGCTGTGCGGCGTAAATGTAGGCGATTGTTAAGAAATCTTGGTGAGTGCAAAGAGAGTTGCTGCTTTTTACCAGTAGCAGCATGAGGAAAATTTTTTAAATCAGATTGGATTATTTCCAGTTGAATTACTGGCTCTTGTAGTGAGGATTACCACAAAATTAAGTAGGAGAAAAAAAGGAAAACAGCAGCCAGGATTTGGGCTTCTAGCCACCAAAGCTACTTTAGGACAGATTATTAAATTCCACAAATGAGGAGACAGTGCTATGGCATGCAAAAAAAAAAAAATCAAACCTTTTTAATCCCCAAGCAGGCAGAGGTGTGATGGTGACGATTAGTGCCTAAAGCATTGAACACTCCCAACATGCGCCTGCATGCAAAACATTTACCACACAGTCAGTCACTCTGCGATCAGATCAGTGTCGCCAAGACTTGAGAGGAGAGACGGGATGTTTTAAAATTTCGTGGAAAAGGAGGGAAATAACAGAACAGGAAATAGCTGCCAATAGTTCCAAGACGAGACCAGCAGAAGCAAAAAAGCAACAAAAAAAAAAAAAAAAAAAAATAAAATAAAAATAATAATAAAAAAGGTGAAGGGCAAAGATGTGAACACCCGACCCCACGGACACCGCTGTGAACGTACCAAACATGCCAATCTTGCACGGCAGACTGCCGGGGGACAGAGGCGGTTTTCGGTGGTGGTGGTGCTGGGTGCAGATGTAATCCCGCAAGTTGGGGGCGCTAGAGGACACCCCGAGGGCTGAGGCACTGAAGAGGCCAGAGCAGAGCGAGCCTGTGTGAGGACGAGTCAGGGGGAGGGAGTAAGGAGGGGATGGTGAAGGGTGGATGGGAGTGGAAGTATGACCGGTGAGTCGTTTTATTTACACACCATGCAGGTATTGTTCCAAACAAAGCATCAGGCTTCTTGTTTTTATTAAACACGTTTACATTGAATTAGGGCTGGACAATATGGCTGAAGACCGTTCCATGGTGTAAGCCTTTCATATCAGCTCATGTCCATAGTTTATCTCTGACATGGTGCCAAACTGCTGGCGTGACCTTTCATGAACTTTCCTGTTTTATCCACAGTTTTCATTCCACACTAGTTGTTGATTTTTAAGCCGTTATGAGGCTGAAACTGTGCAAGTTACTCAGTAGGTTGTTGCTAGGTAACCACAGAGTGAGTGAGGTAGTTTACGCCACCAACCTAGCTTAGAGGATGAGCGGCTAAAGCCTTTCCTCTACCTAGATCTCCCAGAATGCCATGTGGTTCTCTGGATTGGAGATACTCGTCATCTTCCTAAAATAACAGAGTAATTCACTTTTTGCCAAAAGTGAGTGTTTTTGCCTGAACCATCTTCTGACTGACCTTTATTTTAAGAAGGTGGCCATACTGAACCTCAATATCAAATCAGACATATTGATATTGCTCATTGTCCAGCCCTGCAATGACGACGATTACCTGAGTGAACTTTCCCCCCACCTTCTTCAAATCAGATCCTTGGACCTTTAACAAAGGTCTAAAGGTCAAAAGGTCAACTGCCCCTTGCCCCCTTCATCTTCAAAGCCAAAGCAGAACAAGCAACAATTTTTGCTGCACAAACAAAGTCGAGTTGACTGACGCCAATTTTGTCTGATTTGAAGAAGATGTGATGCTGGTTGACCTTTCATGACCTCTGGAGACATCTTAATATCTTTAATATGACAGTGGCACAAACAAAACTTTTTGCTGCACAAACGCAGCACAAATGTTTGAGATAATTTTTGTCTGATTTGAAGAAGGTGGGGGAGAAACTTCTCTCAGGTCAGACGGTTCTCTGCAAAAAACTATTCACATCTCCTAAAGTTATAAACAACCTTGATGTGATTTTATCACAAACACAAAGTTACATTAAGTTTTTCTTTTTAGTTTGAAACTACAAATCTTTAAAGTGTGGTGTCCATGTGTTTATATTGAGCTCTTGGATTAGCTTCGATTGCACTGTGTTTAGCTTTATCCATCTTTCCCACATCATCATACTGCCACTACCATGTCAGACCATTGGGATGGTGCTTTTATGGTTCAGGTGCAAAGCCTTCGATCTCATCAACTTCTTCCACATATTTGCTGCATCCCTTACATACTTTGCTCCAAAATCCTCCTGTGATGAAGTAGAGGTAACCTCTCACCCAGACATTTCTCTAACAATGTCGTGAGAGTTATTTTGGTCACAACCCAAGGAGTCAACTCCATTAAAATCGTCTGAATAGCCAGTCAGCGCCGCAATGTAGGTGTTGGAAAGATGAAATCTGAGGTCACCTGTGTTTAATTTTCAGTTTTTATTTGTAATATCGATGACTTCCTTCACTCACATACTGCAGTGGCAGCAGAAAGCTGCTGGATGCTTTTCTTTAGCAGGGACTTGACTGATGAAGATGTTTGGATTGACTTTGGAAAGCTCAATACAAACATGCGCCACATTTTTTTTTTAGATTTTTATTACTAAAAAGTTTTGTAAACAATCCACCATTTTCCATCCACTGATTGTCTACAGCATTTATCCGTGCGGGACAGTGAGGGGCCGTGGATGGGTCACCAGTCTGTCACAGGAAAACAGAACAAACAAGCACAAACACTCATTCCTACGGGCAGCTCAGCGTAACCGTAAGGAAGCAGGAATACCCGGAGATCACACATGCATGTACGGGAAGAACATGCAAACTGCATGCAGAAAGGCCAGGTCTTGTTTTATTCCTCAGTGGAGCCAACTACTTCAGGATGACGACATGAAATCCCCCAAAAACTACATTTAAATGTGTAAAATGTGAAAAGGTTTGACTGTGAACACTTTTACGAAGCACTAAATCAGGGGTGGCCAAGTCCAGTCCTCGAGAGCCACCATCCTGCAAGTTTCAGATGCATCCCTGCTTCAACCCACCTGAATCAAATGACTGGCTCGTTATCAGGCCTCTGTAGAGCTGATCCCGGTCTGTTGGAGTAAGGATACTTCTAAAACTTGCAGGATGGTGGCTCTCGAGGACTGGACTTGGCCACCCCTGCACTAAATGATCCACATAACGCATTACAATATGTGGCCAGTGGCATTTTTTGTCAACTCAATCCTGGAAGTGTTTTAAAACAGAATTAATCCAAGAGTCAAACCTTTTGTTGGTTTGTTTTTCCTGACAGATTCGGCACCAAATTCAGCACCACTTTGATTTAACATGCCAGGTGTGACAGTGAGAAAGACAAGTTACCAACAATGGGAAATGTAGTGGAGTTATGCAGCGAGGAACAATCTCTTCTCATTTGTTAATCTTTATCCAGACTGAAGAATATTTTAATTGAAACAGAGAAACCAATAAATAACTGATGGAGATGCCAGCTGTAGAAAACACACAGCGCTCTCCAAAACAAAACAAAAAAATCATTAAAAAAAATAAAATAAAAAAATCTGAATTAAACTCACACACAATGACATATCAAAAGTATTCTTATCCCATTACCTTCTCCACATGCTGTTTTTAATGGGATTTTATGCTGTGAGAACTGATAACCTCATCTGCTGCTATGCAATAATCTACAATCGACAAACAGAAACATGCGTCTCTCTCCCTTTTTCCTGATTCCCCTAAATAAAAATCTGGTAGAAGAATCGGTTGACAGGACAGTTGCTGGACTTTCATGTTATGATCAAATGAATAACTATAAAATATAATTTTATTTCTAATTCACAAGTATGCACTAGTATGAGCTGCAGAAAATCAAAATAAAATCCACTCTGGTCTGGGGTTGGCACAATATGCCTTAAAAGTAAAATCTACAATTTTCTTTCATGTATTTTTTATTTTATTTTATTATTAATTTTTTTAAATGCTTTCTTTTCTAAAAAAGAGCAATTTAAAATATTACAGAAAAAAATTCCAAAAAGTGACTTTTATTTCAATGAAGTATCAGGATTTTTGTTGTCAACAATGTATTCATAATATTAGAAGAATAAAGATGCAATTTTACTAGAAGACTGTCTTAAGTTTACATTTATGAATAAAAAGTTGTTTTAATGAGAAAAACATTTAGAATAATTAATTTTATATATTTTGTCTTGTCTCATAAAATTATTACTTCACTCTCCTAATATTAAGCCTTTATTCTCGTATTATTTTGATTTTCTTGTCAATTTAGCTTTATGCTAATATCACCATGACTGTATTCTTGTAATATGACTTAATTCTTGTAATTAAAAAAAGATTAAAATATCTAGACTGTTCTATTGATGACCTGAATTCAAAGACAAAATAAACTGCAGCTGCCAAACAAGATGGCCGCCCTGCGGGCGCTGACATCACTCTGAACTGTGAAAACCCAAGGTGAAAAAAATCCAGATTTTCCAAAAACATAAATCTTCAAAAACCAAGAATTTGATTAACAGATAAAATGAATTTGAGGCCCTCATTGGGGTGTGAATACTTTTGAAAGTCACTGTATGAATCGCTACTAAATAATCAATGCAATTTAGTGCTGAAGTCGTATGAAAATTTGCAGAAATGCGCCCCAGACGGCAGGAGGATTGTTTCTGCAGGGCGTTAATGCGCTAACATTTTGTTCAGACACAATGCAGGAAACAAAGCAGGTGGTCCTGTCCTCAGTCTCCTTGGTGCATCAGAGCCTTCAGAAGGAGTTACTGTGAAGCTTTCAGACTGGTTATCGTTTGTCTCTTGATCACACATTGGCACGATGTACCTTTAACCTCAACTTAAGGAAAAAAAGATGCAAACAATCAGTAAATATCCACAGTGACAACGAGGCTTAATAGAAACTTCTGTTTATTCAGAAGAGCTAAGTTGAATTTGATTAAAAGACAATCGGAGTCGTCTAGGTGACACTGAGCAGTAAGTAGGGAAGCTGTTAGCATGCTAATGAAGAACACAAGACAGAAAGTCTTTCTGTCCTCTGTGGTCACATTCCTGCTTTCACGGTTTTCTCCACGCGGCTCCGATTACGCAGCAGACTCGTGCCTGAGAGCGTCGCCATTTTCTGAGGCTTATTAGACGTTAAATTCCCCTGGAAACGCTGAGCTCCGGGGGAAAAAAAGCCCTTGAAGTGTTCTTTGAAGTTGTGATAGACCGAGAAAAAGATTTAAAAATATATATTATGTCAAACTGAAATTGCATCAATACCAGTTTATATTTGTAGGAGGAAAAGAACAGGGAACTATTTGGTAAGATGTAGAGGAATGTGTTTATATCTGGGTTCGTTTCATCTTGACTGACGTGTTTTTCTGAAGAGCTGATACTTTGTTGAAGCAGCTTGTGATTAATTAATATTTAGTCCTTTTAGGTTCACAGTGACCATCAATTATAGTGAATCTTAACAGATCTGTTGTCAAACTTTTCCAGACTTACATTATTTTGCTGAAACCTTGACTCCTACTGACTGAGTGCTGAAGCAGAATCAAAACAAGCAAAGTTTTAGTTTCCACAAATTTAAGAGGCCAGATTATTCCACCTCTCATTATTTAGCCTTCAAACTAATTTATCAGTTTTTCTGTTGAACTGTAAACGTCTTACAATAATTCATTAAAGTCTCGCGTGACAAAAAACCTGACACTGTGTGTTGGGATGTGCTGCAGACGATCCTGTTTGTCATTTAATGACAATATAAAACACTGAGAGCTGGGAAAAAACATTCACAACATACATTTCTAGGTTAAAAGAATTCCTGTAAAAGTCGATTGCTGCTCTTTAAACGAGAAGATTTATTCACCGTTACATGTTGGTCTGCAAACTGAAACATGGTCGTTACTCTGTATCCTAAAGGCGGGAAAGTGATTCAGCTCAATTTGCCTCTTCTGTGTCGTACACTACATCAGTTTAACATTGCAGTGTGGTGCAGAAAGGGTTTTATTAAGATTTTACCTTATAGAGCGACACAAAGTTGGAAAATTGAATGAACCGCCTTTGAAGTGTCGGTGTGCTAATATGCTTAAAGGGGCGGTATCGTGTAAAATCGACCTTTTTTTAAGTTATTCCTTCAGCAAAAACATGCCTGGAGTGTTGCCTTGATTCTTTCATGCATGTTTGAGAAATCCTTTAATCTCCATGGGAACCATGAATGGCGTTTGAAAAACGTTTGTCAACGGCTTAATGGAGAAACTTCGTTGTGACGACTTCCTGCAGGCGGAGTTTCAGAAAGAGCAGGAGCTTCTTAAAAGGGACAGAGGCCCAATTTCAAGGCTTTATATATATATATATATATATAAATATATATATATATATATATTTCTAGCAATTCCAAATAACATAGTTACTCGATTGCATTATGTGCCTGGAAAATACACAACACTGCCCCTTTAAGGGGTATAAATAGTTTTGCAAGGCAAGATGTTGCAGATGTTTCAATTAAATTTAAATCAGCGACCAGTAACCTAAGAGCGTTTAGTTTGATCCTATGAAATTAACTTCCTGTGTAAAACGGCGGTCAGCTAAAACCTGCAGCCTTGCGCTGAACGTTTATTTCCTACAGGGAGTATCGGATCGTCTGCAAGCGTCCTGTGACAGAGAAATCCTGATGTTGGCTGCGAACGCCTCAACTCCCAGCTGACCTCTCGCCTGAATAGTTTGGAGTCTGATCCTGTTTGCGCTGCTGCTAAGCTGAACTGAAAGCTATGCAGCCATGAGAAACAGGAGGAGGAGGCGATAAAAAGGAGAGAGAGATGAGGAAGGGTCTGAAAGGGGATAAAGTGGGAAGGTGAAGGTGGGGAAAAGGCCAAAAAAAAAAAAATGAAGAGCAACATTGGTGGTGACAGCTTAAAATAGATGTGATATGAGGGCAGGATGATCTGATGACAAACACACACACGCACACACGAGGAAAGAATACAAACACTTAAGAGTTAGAAGCTGACCTAGGCCTCCCGCTGGTTTGATCTCAGGAGACTGGCGGGAACACGACTGGAAGAGCCGGTGGGATGTGCAGCCTTTGGAGGAATGGTTGGGCGACGTCTCAGAGAGGACCTGGTCAAAAACAAGGCCACGCATCAATAATAGTAACAATACTCAGCAATGCATTGTGGGTGCTGCCGAGAGGCCGACCCTCCTCTACCTCCATGGAGCCCGTCTTGCGATTGCGGATCATCGGAGAGCGTCTCTGCAGGTTGATGAGCTCTGTGACCGGAAGAGCGTCGTCCGTCTGATCCTGGGAAAGATCCTCCAGGCTTCCCTGATTGGGTTTTTTGTCCTCATTCTGATTGGTCAAAAAATGGACAAGTCAAGTTTTCACCCAGCGACCCATTATGGATTATTTAAATTATCAATGAACCTGGTGTGGACTCATAGGTTTCGTTTCTGTCACTAGAACTATGAAAACAAATTTGCATATTGGAGAGACGGAAATTTTTAGGAAAAAAACAAACAAAAAAAACTCAAATTTTATTGTCAAATTTTTTGCATTATGTTTTTTTGCCTTATCAAAATTAGTCGGTTTCTCAAAACTGCAATGGAAAAACTTTTTTTTGCACGAGTTACGTGATCAACTAAAGGATGTTACTACTGGTGGAAGAGACAAAGAAGACGACAGGAAGTGGCATGATTTTTAGAAATAGGCCCAGTCAAAGTAGGTCAACCCACCATCAGTCAAAAAAAAAAAAAAAAAAAAAAAAAAATTTTTTTTTTAATTATAAAAAAAAAAAAATACAAAAAAAAAA